TTTGCATCTTTTTATTGCTTTTTGTGATGTCTGAGCCTTGTTCTACTTTCAAGGTTCAACACGAAAACCAGAGTGGCCTATGTGTGGGAGAAGAAGAGAGACACATTAGCAATGTTGTGAACAATGCCTAGTCACCCATCAAAGTGCGCCATGTCCGGTAATTGTTGTTTAATTAGCAGTGAAATGTTGTTTTCTGGTTTGGCAATTTACAAAGGACTGTATCCACCTCAAATGCTTATAAAAAATGCAAAATAATTTGTTGTTTTCTGGAAACATGTTGCTTTATAATAAAATTCCTCTCTGGTGTGTAATTGAGGATTACTATTTGAGAAAATAAACATTCCTATTTACCATCTTTTCAAGTTTTCATGTGACCTTTTGAAGGAGTGACAAACATAACAGAATGAAGAGAAAGGACGAGGATACTTTATGATCTTAAAAGCAGACTTGAGAGTTGTTAGCGACTAAAATGTAACTTATCTGTTGTTGGCAGAAAAGTGCTGTAAACTGTGCTAATTGTGTTTTCTGCCTCCTCTTGACAGAACAAAAGGCTGCTTCTTCTCAGATGCCCGTTACAAGCTGTAAAAGAGTCACCCTAGCATTAGTCCCTCTGCTCAAGCCCACTGAAACAAAAAGAGCGGGCATCAAAATCAAAAAACGGTCATCACACTGCAAGGATCTCTCTTCTTTCAGCTAGTGCACTCCACCCTCTTTATCTCTCCCTCCATCCCTCTCTCTCTCTCTCCATGCTTTATCAAGCCAGTGAGACCCCCTGGGAGGCTCTGATCTCCAGCGCACATCCTGAAGAATTAATGACTTCTAATGTACCAGTTAATGCAGAAAAGGCGGAACATCCATCATAACTGACAATTTAATGGCGCTTTCATAGATGGGCCACTCACATCTCTCCCATTCTCCTTCAACCACCCCCCCCCCCCCCCCCCCCCCCTTCCCCTCTCTTGCTAACAGACAGACACTCCCACTCATAGAAATACAGCACATGTACAACACATACACACAAGAGCAACATTATCCTTCTGACGGACTTCATGGTAAATGTTTCTAAAATGTTCTTAAGATCGTTTCATCGGACGGATACATTAAATCTGATCTGGCAGCCCTTTATAATAAAAGGTGCACAAAATCTTGAGTAGTTACCAGTGCATGAATAGGAACAAATGAGGAAATAGCTGGTAATTATAGAATAGTTAAAGTAAGCAATTTGCAAATCCTGAATCATAGATAAAAGTTCTGCGAGAACACGCTGCTCGATGCTACGTTAATGAACCAATGTCTCATGATTAGTTCCTACATATGTGAATCACACTGAACACTTTCTGATTTTTAATGAATTCATTTTGAATCAGCTGCTAAATGGCCCATAACCACTAATTAATCATTACTTTCTATACATATCAGTTACTATTCTTGGTTCCCCTATTCCAAAGCAGGGCACAATACCGAGGTTTTATCAGGAATGCGTCATCGCTTCATGATTACCTTACTTTTACCTACATGTAAAGAACAAGCAGCTGAGTTTCTTCTGGGATCATTAGTAGTGTAGCTTGTGTCAGATCATGAATGGCACAAGGTAGAAACAGCAGACAGACAAAGTTAGCAACTAGCTGTCGACCATAGCTTTTAGCAGCTAATCGTCGGCTAATTTTCACAAAATTGGCCGACATTTTTGGACCAAATCATTTAAGAAGAAGAAACAGCCAAAGAGGAAAAGGTTTGAAGAGTATAAACAGAGAGGAAAGTTACATGACCAGGCAAGGGCCCAGGCAAGTGTTTTATCACTGGAGAAACCTAAGGGATTTGAAATTTGGGGAAGAATCACCTACTCTCCCTTTAATTGATAACAACAAAAAAAGGTAAGCCGGAGCCCTAAACTACTTGTTTGGGACTTTGGGTCATTATCTGGCACTGGCAGTGAGCAAACCCCAGAAACCAAAAAAAAAATCACTGCTGTATCCCTCCTGCATCTCATACGCTGGCCTCTAAATTTTATGTCAGATCTTATAACTCACTACAATAAGATCTTAGCTATTGGCATCTTTATTATTGACTTAAAGAAGGCATTTGACCTTCTAAGTAAAACTTTATGGCACTTATTTATCCTTTTGTTTTCACACAGTTTGTACATGAACCTACTCATAGCAGTGGTAACACCCTGGACTTGATTCTCTCCCGCGAGAGAGAGGTGTTTGCCTTGGATGTTTTTTCTGTCTCATCTGTGGTGTCGGCCCACTTTCTAATTAAATTTAAAGCGACACCAGACTGTCCTTCTAATGGGTGGCACCAACGTTTTTACTACTCGCCACATTGGCCCAGCAACTTTAATGGCACTTAATAAACGATCGCCTGCAGTCTTGGCTCCTTTCTCGACATCAACAGAGCCTGTTGAAAATTGTGCTAGTGACTTAAACACAGCCCTTCTACCCTTCTAGATTCAGTTGGACCTCCTTCTACCAAAAATAGACACATGGGACCTGTAATGGTGATCCAAATACAAATGAAATAACTACCAGTTTATTCCCGGTACACTCTTCTCTTGGTAACTACTCAGCATTTTCTGTAGCTTGTTGTACAGTTATGTCACGACATTTAATTGATGATAAATGTAATTTAACACAGAGTCATGAAAAGCACGTGCGATTTACGTTTTTCAGTGATTTGTCATCATATTCAAGTGTGCTTGTAACAAATACAAATGTCACGCCAGACAATACAGTCCATTATATATGAAGATGTGGAAGATGACAGACTTAAGCGATTCTATGAAGCACATTATAAGCCCATTATATCTTCTGCTGGCATGTCAGCCCACGTGTAGAAATCAAATGGATGGTATAACATGGATTTGTGAACATTTAATGCATCTTTGACTGATGTAATAAACACAAAATCTGATGGAAATTCAAATCAAAAATCAATTTTCAAAGCATGAAAGCAATGAAACCTCACAATTATATAGGGGGGAAAAAGAAAACATTTCACATACAACATTGCCATTTACTGTCGATTGCTTAATTGCTGCATTAATCAGACCTTGAAGTTACATGTGTGGGTATACAGTAAACATAACCATTGTACATTAAGTTCCTGTAATTCGGCTCATTGTCACAAGAGAGAATTTCTTGGCTGGCCAGCGTCTTTGACTTGATATAGAGGACCAATATTCTCTGGAACAGCTTGCACAGGCAGCTAATGTCCCTTTCAACGTGTCTAAAATTATGTTCAGAGGACTGGCCGATCAATGGGACTGTCCAGTGATGGGAGACTGAGCCACCTTGCAGCCAAATTAGTCTGTGTTTCATAATGGTGAGCTAAATTTATTGCAGCACTCGAGTTGGTCTTTGCAGGATGTAGTCTGAGAGGAGGAGGAGGCACATATTTTTCACTGCTATTTCCAGATACCACAAACATAATTGAAAAGTGCTGCAGACAAGAAAACATTGCAGATTACAGTCTCAGATATTGGCTTGATAAAGAAGTTGGAAGTTAATGAAATTACTGAAAAGGTTGCAAAAAAGTATAAACAAGAAGAGCACTAAAATGAAGAAGTAATTCATGAGGTTCAGCGCAGACAAAATGAATGTTGACAATTCACAGAACAAGCGAGGATGAATCCTCATGTTTACAGAGAGGAAGGTCTATTCTTTTTAATACTTAGTAACATATCATCTAAGTCTAAGACATAGGCAAAGACAAAGGCATCTGTCTGATTTTTAGTCATACCATCAACATCTAAATCAGCTCAGAAAGAAACTGTGTTTCTGGTCACCCAACAACTGTATGTTCAACATTTCCTGTCTTTTTAGCTCTGTTTTGGTCTCCACCAACTCCTGAGAAAAATATCTGGCTCTTTGGCTGCTAAATGCTCTATTATGTTTAGCAGCTAGTTGCTAACTTTGCCGTCTGCCGTTTGATGCTGAACAGGCAGTGCAGAGTTGGTTTATTACAGCTTTTTTCACTGAAAGCAGCTGCCTGCTACAGCTAGAAACGAGGTCAATGAGAGTGGTGAAGGTGAACCAAAACAGGAAAGTTGGCGGGACGTAAAACAATGAGCTGAAAGAGGCTGAAACGCTGGGTAGAGCTGAGGGAAACTGCAGAGTTTGATGATAATTCTCAATGGGGTTGTTGCCACCATTACACGCAGTCATTTGATCCAGTGTTTACACAAAAATATTGATGGCTGTAGCTTTAATTTAACCTGTTCCATTTTATCTACATTGTTATACCCAGGTCAAAAAGAAGTGCTCTTAAAGGCACTGAAAATATACTAGAAATTCACATAGTATGCTTATAGTACATTCATAATCCTAACATGCTTACTACAAGTATATTAAAGATATATTCTCCTGAGCTTTAACATACTCTCAAAAGTATACTTTGAATAAATTGGTAATAAATATATACTTAATTTAACTTTGAATAAATATGCTTAAATAAAAGTACTACTAAAATACTATTTAGGTGTACTTTGTGGAAGTATATTGTTAAACAATTACACTTTTATTGGGTTACAAATATATTTATGCCAAATATGCTTCATTGTGTAGGCTACTGCAAAATATTGTAATTATTTACGTAATTGCCATGTTTCAGCCTGATTTCCAGAAGTGTGATTTTTAAAACATATTTTTTTAACATTAAAATGTATTTTTCAAAAGCATATATATATTTTCATTTCTTTTCTTTCATTTAATTTTTTAAAATCAGGTAAATAGAGATCAGAGACCTCTTTCATACATAAGCTGGCCCAGAAGGAAGCAGCACATGTTGTTAACTTAACAAACAACAACATATAGAAATAAGCATACTTTAAATCATAATGTAGTTATACTGGTTTCTGTTTGTAAACAACACGTGTACACAGGGGCGAAGTGTGCCCTCCCGCCCAGCCCACTAGCGCAGTGCATTCAACCTGACCAATCAGAATCAAGGTTTTCAAATCGACGACCCAATCACACAGCGTGAAAGTCTGCTTCACGAAAGTTAACGTGTTTACTGTTGTTGAGAGGGAAGCTAGTTTTGGCCAGAAATAATTTTGTTTCTCGGGTTTCCTTTGTTTTACTTTACATCTCGGGCTTGGAAGGTGGAAACCTCAGACATAATAAGAAAAGAATACAGAAGAGAATATCCGGGCAGCTCCCTGCAGAAGTTAAATGTGAAAAGAGCTAAAGAGGCGTGCAAGCAGGAGAGGACAGGAAGCAGATACTGCCATCAAAAATCGTCTTTCTTGGTAAGTTTGTTATTGTTAGCAAGACAACACAATTGTGTAAGTTAACTAAATTTGAGCTCACTCTGGGTTTGGAAATATTTTCCTTGGTGGATAGCTCTGGTGTGCATTAGCTAATTCTAGCACGTAGATTAATTTATTTGTTAGCTAACCTGTTGCTGGAATTTGATGCATGAGATTTTAACAAGGCAGGCCTGTGCATGTGTGTGTGTATGAGCCCTCAATTGACCAGTGAGGTCTTTATCACAGTAATAAATGCAATGTCTTTGTGCTACAGGTTCACATTTTTATAGTGTAGCTTAATACTCACATGTCCATGTTTACAGTAAGTTATTGGTCACTGTAATCATTATTCCTGCCCATATAGTCTGTAAAGACATCACCACAGTTGTCATTTTTGTATAAATTCATTCTAAGTTTAGCTGAAGCTACTATGAATCATCAGCTAAGCATCTGTGTTAGACTATTCAAAAGTGGATCTCTTCTAAAGGTAAAGTGTTTTTAGAGATTTCTCTTCACTGCAGCCATGGAGGGGGTAATCATTACAGTGACCAATAACTCAGTTATAACAGCAATGTTGAAGTGTACACGGGTATGTGAGAATTGTTTTAAGATGCACTTTAAATAATGTTTTTGTGTACTGCAATGTCTGACCACACGTTATGTAAAATACTGCTCAACTTTATGTCCATTTGTATGGTCATAGATCCTGTATTCAACTTTTAAAAGTTGAACTTACCCTTTGCCAACTTTAACCAACTTAATGCTAAACCCAGAGTTGGAATTTCCTGTCTTAGCTCAAGAAACTGAAATAAAGAATAATAATAAAGATTTGCTATAAGAATAGAATGACAGTGTTTATAATGATACGCAAATGAAGAACTAAACTAGGTGGAAGTACTGGCCTAACTGAATATTTATTATATCTCATTTGAAACTGCATTTCTTTTCTTTTAGGGGTTCCTGGGATCGTTGCCTCACATGGCTCAGAGGCCCCGAAAATCTCAAAGGGCCAGCTGGACCCTCACAAGCTCGATGTGCTCATAGGTATGTCTGGCTCCTGCACACCATCACTGTTTTTGCTCTCACTACATGTCAATGGGGTCAGACTAAATAAACAAATATTCTTGTGAAAAAATCATTTTATTTAAAATATTGTTATACATTAAGTAATTGGCTACTTTTGTACTTCACAAATTGACTGCTGTGTTAATGTGAAATCATATGTAGACAGAACAGTTGTTAAGCAAATCTGTATGTTTGTTTTATTTGTTGTACCTGTTTAATAACATTTTATCCTATAACGCTCCTTGGCTGAATGTACAGTAGTGTTTATGGAATGTTTTTGATTATGTTGTAATGGAAGAACTGAGCATTAAATGGGAGGGGTCTCATTTAATGTACAACCCAACCATACCCTCAGAACAGTTAGACATGATGTCATATTGTGTTTCAGCAACTTTAAACAAAATTAAAGCTGCAAGCAGCGTTGGGCGGGCCTTCGCATGTGTAGCGCGTCGGGGTGTGAGCCGGCCGTGTTGCATATTCTGGAGCTCTGCCGATGCGGCTGTGAATTTGCTACGCGCATCGGTCGCTGCATGAAGGTGTTATACGTCACTTCCTGTGTCCCCTTTGTGGCCGTATGAATATAAATTAATATTGGCGTGTAGATGTGTTCGGGGCGGGACAGTTATCAAGCATGTAAGGCTGAAATGCAAATAAAAATGTTCAGGGAACACATTTAAAATATATTTAAACTGTTCTTCAAGTATAGCACAAAAGGGTATTTTAAGTTAAATTTAAGGAAGTATATTTAAATTACAGTAAAGGTACTTAAAATAGGTCCATTTTAACACAACTAAGTATATTAAAATATATTGCAATTATCTTAAAGCTGACTAAGTATTTCTAAAATGACACTTAACATACTTTAAGTTGTTCCAAAATAACACATTTAATATACACTTAGTATACTACAATTAAAATGTAATAAGTGCATCCAAAAAAAGTGCTACTTAAATATATTTCTTTTTTACTTGGGTATACCTTCATGAATTTCCCTTCATACAGTATTTGTGCTTTTTACCAGCATCCACTAGTGTCAGGTTCTGTCTTCTAATGTCAGCTCATGCTTGTGGTTGCAGGGAGTTGTTCCTATTGGACTGCTACACTTTAAGCTTAACCAAAGCACAAACTCCCTGCATCCATGGCTATTCATTCTAGTGCCTTTGTGGGCCCTCCTCACCTGAGGGCCCTGCCCCACCCCCCAAGTCCTACGCCCCTAAATCCAGGTAAGAAACATAATTTGATCCTTAGTAGATCCTCTTATTAAAGGTATAATAGTTATTAGCCAAACAGAATTTCCACAGTCACACACTTAATTTCATAAGTATGTATTTTGTCTACCAATACTGGCCATAAGATTTTGATCCAGTATCATTTTTAGCTGTCAGTTTCTATACGTCATGCTTTGACCTCTCAGAGCTGACACCAGATTCAATAAAAAGTGCTTACATTTGGGCCTTTAGAGAATTTCTTTTTCCTTGGAAAATGTAATCTCCGACAGATGCTTGTATTTCTGGGTACATCACTGCTCACAAGTCCGGGCAGGTCAAAAGTACAAGATAAGCATGTTAGTATTGAGCAGGCAGAAAAAAAAATCATTGTCATTGACCTGCAACAAACTATCAGATAGCCAAACACAGCAACACACTGATCTGATTACTTACTGTATACGTGCAATTATAAGACCTGCAAGTCGGCCGTTCGTTAAATGGGAAACATTATCACTGTGGTGGAGTCAATTACATATCTTTATTTTAGCAAAAGGTTTGAAGGTGGTTTACTTTGTTGTCTTGAGGATGGAAGCCTGCATCCCTCCAGTCAGTCCACAAAAACTCTCTGTCCATACAAATTCTTTTAAATGAGGCTGAAAAGAGATGAGAAGAGAAAGGTTCCTTGTGCATTTTGCAAGGTAAAAAAGTAAGCTCATAAGGAATCACAGAGAATAATGAAAGGAAGCAAAGTCTGGCTTTTTTCATTTCTACAGGCTAAGTAGCAATCTCAAGTCAAATAGCCGTTGGTAACCAGTGGATGATGTTTAGCGCCAGCTCATTTAATTCCTTTATTATTTCTCAGCAAGCTCTCTGCTTCAGAAATCACAGGAAATTGATTCCATTATCTGTATCACTTTTCCTCCGTGCATAGCACCTGCATATGAAATGCAACACACCCGCCATCTTAACATCTCTGCCACTGAAGTGACATTACTATTGTCATGGCAACAAACCCCCTTCTCCATTGAGAAACTGTAGACTGCAGCATCCTGTTTCTGGAGTCAGGTATAACAGTTTTAGATTTGTGCACACCACAAATCATGACGTGTACCATGGAATACTTCTTTCAGTATGTTAAAAGATTGCTAATTAACCTATAGACCCTAAGAGCATAAACAGTAGTAGTAGTTGAACTGTTAATATCACCATGACCAACAGCCCATGCTTCAGACAGATTAATCGGCAGTAATTTGTTATTACACTTGCCCAGGGACTGCAGTTGGAAATTAGCCAAGTTGGCTAACCTGGCACATTTACAGAAGTGTCTAATAATGTAAACTGTCCCTGTAACTTTAACTGTATAAATAAATAAATAAATAAATGTAGCATGGCTGCATTGGCCTCTGGAAGAAACTATACAACATTTAAAGATTTCTTATCTCTATATAATCTACACTGCTTGTACATATGCCTTCTTCCATGGAAAGCTCATAGACAATCATGTACCATTGTTCTGTACACATATGGCTGTTCATGCACACCATTCAACAACATAAGTTGAAATAAAACACATTTTTTGACAATATGTTATATTTTTTTCATCATACCTATAAACCTAAACAAAACAAGTACAATTTGGTGGTGGTAACAGAAAGAAAAAAGGCAGTGAAGAAGACTGCTAGCTAGCAAACATGAATGTAAACAATACAGAAATACTAATAATTAACACATTTAAAATAAAAATACTATAATGTTTTATAGGAAAGGAAATGCAATGCTAGGTCTAAAAGATACAGACAATTCATTTTCTTAAGAATCACTGAATGTAAACAAACTTTTGTTTGTTTAAAAAACTCCAAAGGGCACCTTCTTTTGGAAATTTTTTTGTAAATTCACATGCCTGAACACTGTCTGACAGACAGGTACAGAAAAATACTCAAAAAGTAATTTCAATGTTAATTTAACATTGACCCAACGCAGTGAAATTTTACATAGTAAAATGTCAAAGTGGTGCTTAAAAAAATACTTAATTGTAATTAGGAAAGCTGCAAATTTCAACAGCAATGAATAAATGAATAGATCTCCTGTATTGTAGGACTGAAAGAAATCATTACATGAACAAATGTGGCAGTTAGATCCTCAAAACGTCTCTGTGCTGCTCAAATTGCTGTTCATTGCAGATTTTTGTCTGTATTTGTCAAAGAAAGGACTGAGTGAGTGTGGAAGAAAATGCTTTTGATGTGCCTATACTCAAGGACGTCGACACAGCACCTTGCAAAATCTAATTTCCAAAGTGTGAAATTTCCTCATTCTCTCCCATGATAGCTTCATTTCATAGTGAAAGCTAATTATGGGCGCTATAATTTCTTTCAGCAGTCAAGTCATCAGCTTGTCAAATACAGAGTGGCTCGCCAAATGACACAATATAATTGCTGTGGCAAAAACAAATGCTCTTTAAGATATTGGTCATTATATTTAAGACATTTTAATGCAGAGAAGAATACTTGTTTATATTGTCTGGGTCTTTGTGTGTGTGTCAATTTGTTACTAAAAACTTTTTCCCTTCACACGTCATACTTTCTCATGCTGTGCCTCTTAACATTGCTTCTCCTTTGGAGCAGCTGTCTCGCTTTTCAACCCAAGTAAAAAAGCAGAACAATAGTTTTACAAGCAAAACAAACAGTCAACCCAACCCTTTGACATTGTCTTGTTAAAAAAAAGGCCCAGCCCGATTTAAGATTCACTGGGGTTGCAATCTGCATGCTAAGGCCCATAAATTTTTCATGGCTCCCACACTATGAGCACTCACAGCCAGAAGGGGGTAATGCAAAATTGATTTGTGTATTAAAACTGCTTAGCCAAGCAGGCATCACTGGGAAATGTAGTGATTACCCCCTCGGGACATGAGAAGACCACGTATAGCTAAAGTGATCAAAAGAGGGACTCTTCTGTCCACTTACAAAAAAAACCTATGTAATACAGTCTCGAAAAACCGAATATAATAAACTTTAAATAAACTTATTCTTCTAAGGCACCATATTGAGACCGCCAGTAGGAAAGTTTAATTATTTATGGCATTTGTACTTTTTTTAAACAGTATACACTTGATAGCAGCAGGAAAGATGATGTGCAGTGATGAAGTAATAGGACACGTTGTGTCCCAGTAATGCCACCAACTGAAGTCACACGCAAATGGAACTAGTGATGTTACAGGCAATATGCCACAAGTGATATAACTATATATTGTTTTTTTCCCCCAACAGACTTTCAAAAACTGCACTGCCTCTGACTGGCTGGTACTCGTTGGCTCTGTTGTTTGATCCATCAGGGATGTCATAAGCAATATGACACACTGATGTCACAAGAAATCTGAAACCAGTGATGTCACAGGCATTATGACATCAGTGATGTCACAGGAAATGATGGACACAAGTGATGTCGAAATGTATTACATCATCTTCATGACTACTGTGCAAATTCCATTCACAGAGGAAGCCTGAAGCTAGGAGGTAGACTACCATTTAGACAATCAATAATGAACTTTCAAAATCAATATTTAAGTTTAAGTTTTGACATTTGTGAGTAATTACAGTAAAGTTATACAGATCTGTAATCCCCTTTTGTTGCCTGAGAAAGCAGAATCGCTAAGGGTTGCCTACCTGCTGTTGTACAATTTTTTTTCACAAGCTATTTGTTGAAAATTCTGCAGGTTGTGAGTCAAAACCGTGAAGTTGATGAGCTTAAAACATTGATATGCTATGCCTGTAAGTAATGGTTAAATTGGAAGATTCTGACAATTGTAACTGCCAAAAGATAGTCACCGCTCTGTCTTGTTGACCTGTTCACTGTTAGAGAGTGGTGTTTCTTTGTCTTGAAAGTGATGTTTGACAGAGTATGGATGACTTGCAGATGCATATTGAGTAAACAGCTGTATACAGTTTCATTTTGGCCACATTGCCTACAGAATATTGTTTAGTAGCTACAGCTAATATCATTTTGCAATGTTTTTAGATGCATAAAGGAACTACATGGATACTTTAATGCATCTTAAATTTGTTTGGTAGTTAATATCGGATCCACAATACCACCAAAACACCTCAGAAGAAACACAAGATTCATAAGATCATATTATTAATCAACAATGTCTCATTATTTGCTTAAAACAAAATATAGTATATAGCTGCTCTATCACTAATGCAGACGCTGGTGTGCGATGGAAGATGCCTCATTTAATGTACAACCCAACCATACCCTCAGGCTGCCTTGGTTGTGACAAAGGATTTCACCCTCTCAGGGGTCACTTTCTTCAGCAACTGAACTGTCTTATCAACCCATGCAACACCATGACCTGTGTCCGTCCTGGATTTACAAATGCTCACCTTTGTACAGTAACCTTGCCTGACTACAGAAAACACCACGAAAACATACATATTTATCAAAGCACATTTGTAGGGGTCATCAAACGCCCAGCTCCCCTGTCTGCTTATACTAAATATGCCCTTGAGTGCTGGAGGAGGTGAATACCTGCACTTCTGGAATATTTACCAGCCCTTTATTTGGCAGTTCCAACCATTATCAAAGGGATCCTTAATATGGTAAAATGAGCTTAGGTTACAATCTCCGTGGACTGAATTGACAAGAAGAATTTTTTAAAAACACAATCCTGAATTGTCCACCAGAATGGTTAAAAAAAACAGTTTTTACTTAACCAATGGGCTATGAGAAAAGAATAGCTTTTGTGAAGCTTAGAATTTACAAACTATTCTGCCTGTACCAATGTGAAAACAAATTCGTAAAATACATAGGCTACCCATCAACTCACCCGCCCACATTATGCTTTGACAGCTCTTCAACTCTGAAAAGCACTCAAAGGTCATTTTTTGATCATGAAAAGCTCACTATAATAAAAGTAATTGAATCATTATTTGCAAAAGAGCTGGCACACGTCACTGTAGCCGCCAAACAAGTGGTGAGTCATAGTTAGTTAATGGTCAGCTCACAAAGCAGAGT